GTGTGTGTGTCTGAGTGTGTGTGTGGGTGTGGGTGTGTGTGTCTGAGTGTGTGTGTGGGTGTGTGTGTGTGTCTGAGTGTGTGTGTGTGTGTCTGAGTGTGTGTGTGGGTGTGTCTGGGTGTGTGTGTGGGTGTGTCTGGGTGTGGGTGTCTGGGTGTGTGTGTGGGTGTGTCTGGGTGTGTGTGTGGGTGTGTGTGTGTGTCTGACTGTGTGTGTGTCTGACTGTGTGTGTGTGGGTGTGTCTGGGTGTGTGTGTGGGTGTGTCTGGGTGGGTGTGTGTGGGGGTGTGTGTGTCTGAGTGTGTGTGGGTGTGTCTGGGTGTGTGTGTGTGGGTGTGGGTGTGTGTGTGTGTGGGTGTGTGTGTGTGTGTGTGTGTGGGTGTGTGTGGGTGTGTGTGTGTGGGTGTGTGGGTGTGTGTGTGTCTGAGTGTGTGTGTGTGTGTCTGAGTGTGTGTGTGCGCCATCCCTTCTGGCTGTCCCCTTCCTTCTGCCTGCCTGCAATGGGGCAGCCTGCCCCCTACACCTGCCAGCCGCGCCCCCCGCACGGTTCGGCCCTTGGAAAGGCAGGGGGAGGCCCCCCGCTCTCCATTTCATAAGCGCCCCATTGCTGAACGTTGCGGGGGGAAGCAGCCCCACTCCAAGTTGCTGCAGCTTTCTCTCTTCCTTTCCCCTCCAGCCTCCCCTGCCAAATCAACTTAGGCTGGGGCGGTAAAGTTTCCCCAGCCGATTCCCCCGGTGAGAGCCAAAGACTGAACGGCCAGAAATAGGGCCAGAAGATGCCCTGTCTTTGGGGAAGAGGGGGAAGAGTTTTTATAAAAAAAATGCGAATGGGATGCGAGAACAGGGTCCGAGGGATTTAATCCTGGGGTTTTTGTAGGGTCGCCAAGTTGGTCCTTGGATTTCTATAGATAGGTCTCCTCCGCTGTGTGTGCACAGCAGGGAAACGAATCCGATTTGACAGACCGGGGTAGTAGAACTAAGGGTAAAGTGTTTGTGTCTGTATGTGTGTCGTGTGTATGTGTGTGTCCATTGAAAAAGAAAAGCCATCCGATCTTCGTGTGTGTGTGTGTGTGTGTATGTGCGCGTGTGTGTATCCATTGAAAAATAATAGCCATCCGATCTGACAGTAGATGCTTTGCCTGGGAAAAACCTTTACGACCTCTCTCTCTCTCTCCCTTCGTTCCCACCTACTGCATTTTCAAACTTTTTCTTCGCTTGATAAGCAGACCCAGTTCACCTGGGAGAATGAGTTTCCCAGCGCAATGTGTATGGGAGAGGGAGGGTGGACGACCCCCTTTGAGTGAGTGAGGGGAGAAAAAAAAACCGGAGGGGAAAAACCCCACCCACCTCGGATTGTCAATATCTAGGGGAAAAAGAAAACCCAGTTTATTTTCCACCAGGTGTGGGGGAGGATTTTTAAGATCTAAATCCTGCCTTCCCCTAGTAAATCTCTTTGTGCCTCGGTGCGGGCTGCAACCGAAGCACGGATATTGACACTCCTCACTCATCAGCCATACGCCTCTAAATTATGTAGACAGGGAAAAGTGGTCTGAAGACGGAGCCACACATGGTTTTGATAGAAATACAATATTCCAGCAGCAGAGGAAGTCCTCCCCGATAAACCCAGCCTCATCCCTTCAAACAGCATTTCTTTAGCTTTCTAGTATGTGGGCAGATACAGAGAGAAACCTCCCTACCTACCATCACCCACTTCCTCTCTAGGATTTTACAAAGTTATAGGGGAGGGGATCTCATGTGTAGTCCTATAAATGTCATATTTAGTCATAGGAAGAAGAGCCTGTGCAAAACATGTGGGGTATTTTTTTTATAGCTCAATCTCAACCAGGAGTCTGCACTGAACTGGTGTCTAGTATTCATTAGCCTCTATGCAAAACCTTACTGCACTAGAGTTCATGGCTTCCCCCTGGCACAAGGGACCCGTGATTCGTTACTCAAGATAACTAGAAGGTAATGGGAGTGAATTGATGCACTGATAGGCGTGTGTGTGTGTGGAGTGGCAGGTCTAGAGGTTGCTATCATTCTAAGGAAACCACGAAAAGGTTGTAGGGAATTTTCCAGCCAACTCAATAGCTCCTACCCGCAGGACTTATCTTGACCATGCACCAGCACTCCACAAATATTTTAGAAGGCATAAAGCATGCAAACTTATTCTCTTTATCTGTCCTCAGTTGTTTATAAAAGCTAGTTAAATCTGTGAATGCAGAGAACCAGTGGAGCATGGGGTTGCTTGCCTTTGCCTTTTTGTGTGTGTGTGTGATTTTAATTACAGTGTGTGCCTCAAGTGTGAGATTAGGTGCTTCCCTCCCCTCCCCCGCCCTTTCAGCCTCAGTCTGAAGGCTTCAGGGCTCAGAGAAGCATTTAGGTTATTTTAATTGTCTAGTTTTTTAAAAAAATTGGGAGCTCTTATTAAGCATGCTTTTTATAAGAGTTGGGCTTCATATAGTGCAACAGATGTGATGTGTTCTATGTAGCTGTGTCTGTTTTTCCATACATGTTCAGACTGAAACCTCCTTAAAAAAAAAAAAGCCCCGAAATCTAAAGGATAAGATTTTTCTTCCCAGTCGGAATATATTTGGTATGGGGATGCCTTTAAAATAAGTATCTCCTTTTAGTTAGATCTCATTAAAAAAAAACAGCCCCAGCCTTCAATGAAAATCTGCCATTCAATCCTGTCTTAAATTTGTGGCAGTCGGAGAAATCAATGGGATCCAAAACTTCATGACAGCTGCATGATTTCCGGGTGGCTTACATCGAAGATGAGCATTTAAAAACACTTCGTTGTGATAAATCCTGGTGTTGTTTAGGAGTCTTGGCTGCATAATTTTAGTGCCTGGAAGGCAGCTACATTCAGTGCGGTGATGAGGGCATAGAAAATCCAGCAACAGTGGCGAGGGCAGTAGAAAATCTTTTCCTAGACACAGCTTCTCTGTGGAGAAAGAAAATACCCTCTCCTCCATGTTTCCATTCATCTTACTCCTTCCAGCCCTCTTTGGGCATGTCGAATGTTGGGTACTGGATTTGGTTTGCTCGGAGAGTCTTAGCAAGCTGGGAGGCAAACCAAAGGGAGCCAGCACTGGGAGTGGCTTCTAAGGGAACCTTTGGTATGTGTTATAATAGGTTCTTTTTTTTTTTTTTTTTTAAAGGTCTCACAATTGACTTAGAGGCCTGAACTCTGAAGTCTCTGGCTTTGCTGGGATGGGTGGTTAGTCTTGAACTGAGCACCAGGCACATGGAGTACTGTCGTGATGTCCACCGCAGCTGCCCTCTCCTGCCTCAGTTTCCCCTTCTGTCAATGGGCCCAATAAAGTCTAGCTACTTCTCAGGGGTGTTGCAAGGGTTAATGTGATGTTTTAAAGCACACTGAGATGTTCACAGGAAAGGCCTATGAGCTGGAGGTACTACTGGAGTTAAAGCTTCATTGGGGTGCTTTGTTTTCTGCTATAGAAAACTAGCCACATTTTCCTGAACATGTAAATAATTTTGTGAGCCAACTAGCCACACTCAGCCAGCCAAATAGCCACACACGGCTAGTGTGTTGGACACCACAGGTCTAGATTTTTACCTGGCCCTCACCACTGTGGCATGTGATCATCATGAATGGATTTTGTTGTCTTAGCATCCTGGGAAGTAGAGACTTATTATCCCCATTTTATAGATGGGGAAGAGAGGTCCAGGGTAGATTAGGTGACTCCCCCAGGGACATAAAGAATCCAGGAGCCATGCTGGGATTTGAACCTGCAACTCTCAAGTCATATTCTAGGGGCTGAGCTAATACTGGGGAGCCAACCTTACCACATCTTATAGCTGCCTTGGACAAGCCTCAGATGTTCAAGAGCCTGGGTGCACCTGCTGAGGGCTGCAGTCCTAGCAGATACCTCCTGCAGAGCCAAAGGCCCCAGACCTGTCCTCCCTGCTGGGCAGAAGCCCTTAGTCCCATCATCTTGCTGGAGGGCTGAAGCCCTGAGCTCCCCCCACACAGTCTGGTAGGTGGAGAATGAGAGGGGACAAAGGAGAGGCCCCCCCACCCTCGCATTAGACCATCGTTTTGCTGCCAACTGTAGTCATGGGCAGCGTTCCCTTTATGCTCAGTGCTTGGGTAGCCACCCAGGAAAGATTCAAATGCCGCCCAGCTGAATAGCAGAGTGCCCCACTGCGCCCTCAGCTGGCAGCATGTGTTTCAGCATGTGATGGTGCACATCTGCACACATGTTGGTGCACATAACAAAATTTATTCTGCACATGGATGGAAAAAAATAGAAGGAACATTGATCACAGGTGAGGTTGCCATTCTAAACTCCTCAAAGGGTGTGTTACTGGCTGAATAGGTCACTAACGGTAACCGGTAATATTGTCTGTAGGGAGAACTGGGTATAGGGCTTTTTATTTCCTGTATTGTTTTCCAAATTGGTTGTAATGTCTCCCAAACAACAGACATACAGGAGGCCTGAGCAATGAATTAGTCTGTGTGGGGAAAGTGCTGCTGGAAGTTGGAAGTAGGACGGTTGTGTGTCGAGCGCGTTAGCTCATGGGAGTGTGGGTTTCTCTCTGCTTTCCCCCCAAGCTGCTTGAGAGAAGAAAATTAGCCTCCCCCCACCCCCGTTGTGCTTGTCTTTCGGAGATCTCAGCATCAGAGCCCTCAAAAAAACATAATTATCCCTATTTACTGGTGGGGAAACTGAGGCACAAGGCAGGGACAGGTTCAGCCAGTTCCCATCAGATCAAAGAGATCTTTCCACTGACTGTAATAGAAGTTAGCCTGGATACTACTAGCCGAGTCAAAGTTTAAGCGCCACCCCTGTAGCAGGGGTTAACTCTACCCACCATGAGCGCAAGCATGTTCCAGACTAAATACTTGTCAAGCCCCACTGGAGAAAAAGACAAGTTCAAGCTTGTGGAAATCGAAATGTCACCTGAATGGCTTAACACGAGGAAGGTCTGGCCTGGCGGTGAAGTCATGGGGCTGAGATGCCAGCGGAGGGGTGTAATACTTCCAGACCTGCCACTGACACACTGGGCCTTTTGGGCTGAGTCATCCCTCACCCCCACCTCCACCCCTCCTCTTCCCTCCCCATGCCATTTTTCCCGGCCTTTGAATGTGGCTTGCTAGTCTTTCCACCAGCCCTGGGAAGTCTGGATTGTAAAGCATGTGGATTTTGGGCACTACAGAAATGCTAAGCATTACTATGATGATGAAAGACTATTGCAAGGTCTGTCTTTGGATGAAAGTGTCCCTTTCTCTTTATTTTTTTGCCTGGTACTACTGGAGCTATGTAGCTGTCTTTCTTTTTTCTTAATTAGCGCTTCTGCTGGTCTAACTCGGTGCATTCTTCGCTTTTTGGCATCCTTGTAACATACACAAAACCTGCCCCGCCAAAAAGACCTAAACACTGAAAACGTCCCAACTGAGCATTAACGTAGTCATGAGCGTGGCTACCGTGCTACCACGCAGACAGACTTGATCACGCTATAAAGCCCCCCCCCCGAGGCTGAGAACTTTAGAAAGGGCACTCCAGGTTTCAAGATCTTCTCCATGCAGGTTGCTAGTGATCCCTTGTAGCAAATACATCCAGGAAAACCACCCCCCTTACCCAGGCCTGGGCATTATCAGTGATGAAAAGTATTGTAAAGACCTTAAGCTGGGCTAGTTCTTACCTCAGTTTTTTGGGTGAATTTGATGCTTGATTTACCTTCCTGGGGGGCAAACTGAAGTCCAGAGAACAGAAATGCTGCAAGCTTCCCCCCTCAGGTATACACCCTTACTCTGCGAGGGAGTCTGCTCTAGGACATGACAGGTCATTTGGTCCACAACCTCCCTGCTGAGGCTGCCACCTAGTGTTGATCTCAATAGTGGATTTGGTTTTAGGGACACTTGTCCCCCTAAGGAAATGGGCTAAGAGTCACTCAGCTGTTTGCAGAGCTATTAAATTGGTGCGCCCCCCTGATTTGAACTGGTGACCTAGAAGCAAAGGCCTCTGTAGCGAAACCTCCTCTCCCCTGGCTGCAGTGTCCGATTTGTGACTTTTTAGCTGTGTCAGTTTGTGTGCGGGTGGCCTGTCTGGGTTTCCATGCCAAGCCTCTGAGCCATCAATTAACGCAAGGTGGCTGGCATTAGAACTCTACCTTGTCCTTTGGACAGGGTGAATGTGTAGCTCTAATGCAGAAAATAGGGAATCAGTTTCCATTACACGCATAGGCATGATCTATTTGCACACACATCCCCCTCTGCCCTCATTCCCTGTGACGTACAAGGACCAGGGACATAAATCTTGATTGCTAGATGAACTCTCCGAACCAGTGCAGCATTAAATGCATGTAAATGTTTGTTTGCAAAATGAACCACTCTGAGAACTGACTTCTGATTCCATTTGAGTGTGAAATACCATATGGGAGAGGAAAGGTGGAGGAAACCTAGTTTATAATCCCGGAGCTGTTTTACTCTTAAATCATTAAGTGCCACAGTATGTTTCTCGGTCTCTGAAAATGCTGGTACCTGAACCAAGAATTGTGTCTATATATTTCCCCCCCCCCTCTTTCCCCACCACTCTAACAAAATTCCCCCGACACTCATTCATAAAGAACGGCGCTGGTGATTCTATCAGCATTAAGCTGTTCGGTGACTGAATTTAGAATTATAGGAATGGAGCAATGAATTAACCGTAAATCAAATCTTGGGTGAGCCTGTATCCAACTCGGGTGAGATTTAAATTAAAAATATCTCGCCCAGATGAAGTAATCGTAAGTCAGGCACTGGAGTTCTGTCAGTCTGGCCTCCCACGAAAGGAGAGCAGCCCCTTTGAAATAAAAACCGTGACAAGCCCACGTATTGATTCCCAACCGAACAGGGAAATTACCACTTCATTGCTTCTATAAACTCTTTGCTTTATTGTTTGTTTGGTTTTTTTTCTGAAGGGAAGATGGTTAGACTGGGATGGTGGGAACCCATTTGA